ATATAAGTTTAGCAGTAGGCGGCAACTAATTTGTTTTATAATCTAGTCTAAAACTAAATTGCAAACGATACGTGGAATAAGACAGTTATCGGTTAGATTTTTATCATTGTAAACAGGCTTATAAAGTGCAGTTTTTGCTCAATAACTGGCTTATACGTAACTGATTAACAATTCATTTCTGTTTTAGATAAAAGATAAGAATGTTATGCATTGTAAATATGTTCACGTCACTTGTAATACGCTTTCTACGATCGTTGTTCGCGTCCACGTGAGTTACTCATAAAGTGGGCACATAAATAATAATGTGTGCGTCAGTTTTTTTCTCTGCGTGTCATACGTGTTCGCTTTGATTACACGAAACGACTATAAAATTGAGCGACGCGCGACGGAGATGTCAGTGTCTGCAATAAATGGCCGAATTGCAGATTTAGCTTGACTTAATTGTTACAATCTTTGCTTAAGGGGGTTAGCAGTGCGTCTACATCTTTATATTGCAATAAAATTGACTGCAATAACATCATTTACAAAACACTACTAGATCTTTTCCCTACTCGCATCTGTTGAATACGACTAAACCTATTTCAAATTGAGCCTCATCATAATAAAACTAAAAACATTTTAAACCACTCCACACTTCAATCCTTTTAACAGTTAATTATTAAAACTGTTAATTAAAACATACCGCCATTAATTAAAACGAATAAATGCTCTTTGGCATAGTGGCTGGGCAACGTGTCGCGAGTTTGAATCCTGCACGGAATTTACAAACGAGCAGGTGGATCACCTGATGGTAAGCAATCGGCGTCTCCATTGGACACCCGCAACACCAGAGAAGTTACAAGTGCGTTGCCGGCCTTTTGGGGTTAGACATTTGGGGATTGGGGATTAAGTTGTATGGTCTTTGTGTGATCTACAAATTGATGTTATGGATCTAGTTGTGATATGTATGTGATATTGTATGTTTGTAAACGCACCCAGAAACATTTCTTTTGTAAGGCAACGTATCTGAAATCGAATTGAATTGGTAGGTACAGGCGGCTACATATCGAGCTAAAAATAACTAGTACATCATAGCTGCGCTTCGTATGATCTTACCGTACATTGGACGAGCATTTTATACTGGTTTTAGATAGAATGAAATGAAATACACATGTTTATTCGGCATAAGTCATGCACGCCAGGTAAAAAAACATTATGACAGATAATAATAAAAAGGTTTAAAAATAGGTATAGAAGAAAAAAAAAAGATAATAAGGTAAATTATAAAATTAAAACAAGCTTAATATAGCTTGATGTCGCCTCCGCCGCCCTTTGTCGCGTCGCTCATCACTGACGTATGTTGTTTATCAATAATGTAACTTGTCACCCGTCTAGCCGCATACCTATAACATGTATTAACTTTATAATGTACTATAACATATTGCAATTATAATTATTCTTACGTAACTTTTATAGCTTCATCTGTGGTTATAAGTCAGTTGTAAATACTGAGTTTAAGGTTATATATTGGTGATTTTATCTGACTTCGAAGGATACTGATGGTTGTCGACTTCAAAATATTCTATTTTAACAGTATCATTGATGCAATAAGGTATCCTAAATTTAATTTTAATGTCCGTCTGGTAGATTATTTTAAAACAATACGCGTATTCCTAATTTTCTTACAAAATTAAATACTTTCGACGATATATTGATTTGAAATATCGTGTGACGTTACGATTTACTACATTTTATAGGGTAGCGTGACGTAACGACCTCCCACTTCTAAACTTAACTCCGTTTTATCTAAGTATTGTTTTCTTATCTAAAAAATACGTGTCTAATATTTTTTCATTATCTAACTGACGAACTGATTACATTTTTTATTTTTATACACTATCTACTACCCTATTTTAAACTAAAGCTTAGGATAGGATTTTTAGAGAGACAGTCACTGTAACATCGCGGCGAGAGATATCACGGTTTTAATTCTGTACGGTTTTTTTTACTACAGAATCATCTATCATCTATAACAAAATGATTGAAAATGTAACTGGAGAATATGAGTAGTTATTAAATAGTCACTTTAATCTACTTCTGAGAATAAAAAGGGACATAAACACACAATATTTTATAGTTCTAACATCTTCAGTCTTCATTAAATATCTGTAAAACTTTTCTAATAATTGTTATAGAATATTAGTTTCTTAGCAGAATGGGTGTTAAGCTTTACAATAAAATGAAGAAATAACATAACAACATCACGCCTTTTATTCTCGAAGGAGTAGGCAGAGGTGCAATAAAATTTAAAAAATCAATTTAGTGGGATGTTCGTGCGTTATTACCTCGCAATTGGCTGAACCGATTTTGATGCGGTTTTCAGCAAAGTATTTGTTGCACCTCGAAGAAGATTTTAATATCGATAAACCGATTAAAAAAGTGGGGGTTGAAGTCGGTTTTTTTAAACGTAGTTGATAAAAGAATTAGGTAGCTATTTATTACAATCGTTTTATTCTACAGTTTCGCTATTATTACACTTTACCTTCTTTCAATGTTAACTTGTGACAGGAAAGTCTTATAAAATTGCCGATACTATTCACAAAACCACGCCTAAACATCTTCCCCAAAGAACTTCCGATAACTAAACCACAATTTAAAAAAACATCGATACCACTCTATCGGCATGTTCCATCCCTAGTTTTAACGGTACAGTAACGGCTGACAACCCCGAGTCCCCGCCCTTATTCACGCTACCCCAGTCCTATATACACACACCTATATATCAATATATTAGCTTAGGTAGTACCTATTTGTAAAATCCGGTGACAATGAGACAAATGTCAATACGTTTACTATACAATATTTTGATGTGACGGCTATGTATGGTACTTTAGGTTGATTTATTATTGTATACTATTTAATACTCGCAGTTTCGCTTGTGTGGTTATAAGAAGGTTTTCCGCCATACTCCCAGCCTTCTAACTATCTAGAAAACAATATTTGTCCTTATCACATAAATGCAAAGAGATACAATACATGGCACTTATGTATTAGTAAGATATTTTGTAAGTAGAGTTAAGAGAATAACATTTTTTAAGAGTTTTTTTATGGGATAAGCCGGTAAACGAGCAGACGGATCACCTGATGGTAAGCAATCGGCGTCGCCCATAGACACCTGGAACACCAGAGGCGTTACAAGTGCGTTACCGGCCTTTTCAGATTAGGAATTTGAGGATTGTTGGGGATTCAGGAATTGGGGAAAGGGAAGACGGGGGTAAGGTAATTGGGCATCCGGTTATAGGGTAGTCTATACCCTAACTGTTGAGCAAGAGATCTCGGGATCCATTCTCAAATTAGAAATAAAAGAAAATTTTTCGGTTTACCTAATTTTTTCACTCGACGCTGGATTTGTGCCAGGTAATAGCTTAATCAAACGAGTTTGTCAACAAAGTTATATTCATTGTATCACATGGAAGTCATACAAATTATTGCTTAATAAATTCTCCAATAAATGCAGCTCTATATAACTTTACATCAATTAATATTCATACATAATGTATGTGTGTATGTAAAAATGTATATATGAATGTTCAATTAAAATTAATTTACATACATTCATACATTCGTAAATGGTTGTCAGCGCATTGCGAATTACATTAGTTTTTTTATCGAACAATTTATTTATCGATATCGATAACTTTTGTCTTAAGTAAGTATTGATCGTTAAATATTTTTTGTGCAACACTAAGTACTTTTATACAGACATGTATTTTAGTTTTTATATACAAGAAAAGAATTATATGCAGTTATGTTAAAGACTTGCAAAAAATGAAAAAAAGAACTAGGTAGAAAATAAATATTTTATATACATAAATTGTATATTTTTTTGTATTAAGTAGTTATATTTAACATATATATATCACGTTGCATGATATTAAGATATAAATTATTATAATTATTGTAATAATTTTAGCGGTTTTTATTCGATATAGCCCATAGCATATAAAAATATTCTTAGTCTAAAAAAATATGAAATGTCCAAAGTTTTTCTTAATAAATTCTAAATCATTTACCGTATAAAAGTCTAGTTTAGATATTATAAGTAACATTTAATACTAATAAGTAAGAAAGAGCCATTAATATAGTTCTAAACTCCATAATACTACATTAAATAATATATGTATAAATAATAAAATATCTTATATTATTATCTAAAGCAGAAGAGTTTGTTTGTTTGTGTGTTTGTTTGTTTGAACGCGCTAATCTCCGAAACTACTGGTCCGATTTGAAAAATTCTCTCTGTGTTGGATAGCCCGTTTATCGAGGAAGGCTATAGGCTATAAGACATCACGCTACGATTAATAGGCGCCGAGCAGAGCGAGTGAAACCGCGCGGAAGTAGCTAGTATATATATATAGAACTCATTCTATGAAATAAATTAATTTCATGGTCTTTAAAACAGCCGGTCTTTTATGAAATAGTATTGCATGTTAGTTGTGAGCTGTCTATTTGTCCCTAATTCCATAAAGAAAACTAAAAGTCTATATTTATTACGTTGTTAACTTATTTCGGGGTTATGGGTCGATTGCAAAAAGATCAAAAATTGGCCGAGTAGTCGCAAGTGCGACTGCCGGGCGAGGGGTCTCGGGTATCATTCTCGGGTCGGGCAAAGTATTACTGGTTTTAAAAAAAACTCCAGTAGTAGCACGGAGTCTGGAAATGTGCCCGGTATATGGCAATAGGCTCACCCCTATTACATGGGAATCATAACATAAATAATGAAAAGTGGGTGTTACCTCTGTGTGCACCTCTGCCTACCCCTTCGGGGATAAAAGGCGTGATGTTATGTTATGTGCAAAAAGATACCACGACCCCACTCGAAGCAGAAGTAGGAACGGGGTGGTATTTTATCAATAGGAGTCTGACACTCCCTCCCACCCCACAAAGGACAGGAGAGAAGGTCATACGAAGAAGTTATTTCTTTACGTTTCAAAATATCTGATCTAATTTAATTTCTTTGTACACAGGTGAAGATTTGGTTCCAAAATCGCCGCAGTAAATACAAGAAGATGATGAAGGCTGCCCAGGTCGGTGCTCCTCCACCAAGCCTCGGTCTACCGCCCAGCAGCCCGCCCAACAACAACCAGTTATTACATGGTAAGCATGTTTTATAGTAATTAAATTATACATTTAACACACATTAAACGAGCAGACGGATCACCTGATGGTAAGCAATCGGCGCCGCCCATGGACACCTGAAACACCAAGGGGTTACAAGTGCGTTACCTTGCTTTTTGGGAATTGGGAATTTGACGATTGTGGAGGATTTGGGGATTCGGGAGACTAGGAGGGGGGGGGGGGTAATTGGGCCTCCGGTAACCTCACTCACACGACGAAACACAACGCAAGCGCTGTTTCACGTCAGTTTTCTGTGAGGCCGTGGTATCACTCCGGTCGAGCCGGTCCATTCGTGCCGAAGCATGGCTCTTCTACACTTAAGGTCTTTCCATATAATCATCTAATTTCATATAAAAATAAATTTCCGTTCGTTAGTCTCGCTAAAACTCGAGAACGGCTGAACCGATTTGGCTAATTTTGGTCTTGAAATGTTAGCGGAAGTTCGGGGAAGGGTAGGCAGAGATGCACATTACGGCACTTAATGCCCCTTTACAATGTAACACCCACTTTTCACTATTTATGTTATGAGTCCCATGTAATAGGGGCAATTCTGTAATGAGCTTATTGACATATACCGGGCATAATACCACATTCCATGCTACTACTAAGATTTATTTTAAAAAATTCAGTGATACTTTGCCCGGCCCGGGAATCGAACCCGAGACCCCTTGCCCGGCTGTCGCACTTGCGACCATATTTGTCCATGTAAATGTTCCATTGAAATAAAACTAATTTTTCTTCCAACAGGTGGCGGTGGAAGTTCAAGCGGGTCTCAACACTCCCCCTCGGCGTACCAGAGCGGGGGACCGGCGCAGGCGCACTCCCCCACCCCCAGCTCCACCCCAGTATCGGAGCTGTCCCCAGGGCTGTCACCCACAGGCACCCCGTGGGATGTGAAGCAACCACCACAACCGTCATGGGATATCAAGGTTGGATATGTAAGAGAAAATAATAATAAGCAACATGTTTTTTTTTTGTTTTTTTTATAGAATAGACAAATGTCATTTAAAATTCTATTTCAACATAATTAAAGTTCAAATAACAGACTTTTTATAATTCGTTTCTTTTTAATCTTGAAGAACGCTAAAATTCTTTTGTATTTCCAAAAATATTGGCACTAACATATTTATATATTTAACAAAAACGTCTGATACCTTTTTCAAAATAACAAATATAATATTAATATTTGTCGCGATTTGCTTATACGATTATATGTATTATATTATACGATGAAATAATACAAGTTTTACAATTCTAAACCTAGAAATAAACTCTTCAACATAATACACAACATATTACATTCAATTTTATAACCAAAAGACCAATAATCTTTCAAACTATTTAAATTCCATTTAAAACATCAATTTTCATTAAAGTTTTTAACGTTTAAAATGGCTTTTTAACATTTGTATTTTCTTTTGTTCATTTAGCCGACGGCAGGACGGTCGCCTGACGGTAGCTCGTGCGATGTGAAGCCACCACATCAGCAATCATGGGACCCTAGGGTCGGATATGTAAGTCCAAAACCATTAAATAAATATTTCAATTATTGCATTCGATTTTAACATACGACATAAATAAAATGATTAATGTAGAAAATAAATCACATTTTATGAAATGAAAATGAGTTTGTAATTTTTACTTACTACAAAAAATGAAATACCTAATAAATTATTTTTGAGATAAACATAAAACGTGTGTTATTTTTAAAATTAAATGCAATAATTTTGTACAAAAATATATATTTATTTCAAATTTTAGTTTAGTTGTTTTTTATTTTGTAGTTTAGGTATTTTTACCTAAAGATATACATATTTTTGAGGGGATCTTACTTTTCTTACCGTAGGAGGGTTATTTCGCGCCCCAATCTGATGATATTGAAGGATCACCAGGCGCAGACGGCATGAGGGGCCGACCTATGCCTTGGATGCTGAAGGTAAGGGTTCGATTCCGTGTCGTGTTTGTCAAATGCACATAGTTTTTTACCACCATACATATCATTTAATTTTAAAAAAATCCATATCTTTGCTGAGACAATTAAAAAACGAAATTGGATTCCGTAATTACGTTTAAAAAATTTTATGCTTCACTAAAAAGCTACAAACATGTTCCTATACCTACGTAAATACGAAATCAACATTTTTGTTTAATTACCATCAAGTTCCGATACGTTTTTCCATAGAAAGATTAGAAAAAAACAAGTTTGTATGGTTGCGTGTGTGAAAATTATAAAAAAAAAATGGATAGATAGGTATATGGAACTTATTAGATAATGGTTCGTGGGTGTGCCGGCCACACCTCAACATTTCGTCGATTAATTTTCGACTAAACCTTTACTGCGACTTCGTATATATTTGTTGATTAATTTACTGTATTTTGAACATCACGCCATGTTTTATAAGGTAAGATGAAAATAGCCTGTAGATTATCTGACATTGTGTTTGTTGTTTAGTCTCATAATAGAAAGAATGAGCTTTTTATGTTACGCTGGACACTGCTGAGAATTTTATAAGCAACTTATGTGACTCGGGAATCGAAACCGAGACTGTGTTCTGCGAGCTTATACCACTGAAACAAAGAAACAGTCACATATTAATATATATCTACGTAGGAAGCTGCGATTTAGCACAGCGCTATACATATCACTACATTTAGAAAATAATGCTTAAATATAAACAAAAGCAAGCATTTCTGTGTATGGATCATCCAAAATCACACCATAGGCAGCAGTAGATGCTCACCGAACAAAAAACACATATTATATTAAGACTATTACATTTCTACAAAAACATTTAATAAACGAATCGCTAAGATAATCCAAGCGAAGTGCGAAGGCACTGCCTACTCAATAGATTTGGTTTTATAAAGAAGAACGAACTTAACTGGCGTGCATACACCACACACACACACACACACACTTCAAATAAATTCCAAAAATCTGTACAAATGACACCCAAAACTAACAATCACCTCTCTTTGTCGTAGGGAGCGCCGCCCGGCCCATGGGACATGAAAGGCGCGCACGCCGCCCACGCACTGCATCATCAGGGGGCGCCACAACCTCACCCGCCCTACGTGCCACAATACTCGTGGTATCAAACTGACGCCAATCCTGGATTACTTACGTAAGTTTTTTTTTTATTTCAGTTACAAAATCTGGTACGTTCAATACTTGTAAGTAAATATTTATTTATTATATTTACTATGAAATCAAAATTAAAGGCGTGAGCACATCACATTTTTCGGCTTCATCGCTAAACAAAACTATTTCTATAACAAAGTCATTCAAAATATTCTCGATTTTATTCAAAAGTGCTTCGACTTTGGCTTTCATTTGAGTTTGATGTGGGTAGCCTTTGGACCAAACATTTTAACATCAAATATGTAATTGCTTATAATATTGAACGTATTAGTCATTTGGAAACTGTTTGATCGTATCAGACACATTCAGACCTAGTTCTGACTGCACACGTAAGTCCGAAACTTTTTTCTTATGACCCGTTAATTTTGCCGTTATTATAATTGTAAATTAATTAAAATTTCATAAAATATGCCATTCTGAACTGCCATAAATTCAAAGTCATGAAGAGAAGCTAGATTTAATTACTAAGTAGTCCTGATTACGAGAATGTACTGCGTTGGTCCCTAAAAAGTCGACAATGAGGTCAGTATATCATTTTGTGGCATACCTCCCATCTTCCACCATCTCTCTTCATTCTTTACTCTCCGCCTGAGCCACCTGCTCCCAGGAAACTCCAGACAACCACCACGTAAGTTCCATAATCATGATTTTTCATTAAGAGGTCCTCTTCTACAGCCTCTCGCAGTCCACTGCTGGACATAGGCCTCTACAAAAATGGGGAATGAACCACCATGCTTGGCAAGCGGGTTGGTGACTGGAGACACGAGGTGGCACTTGATCATCGTGTCACAAATCTTCTAGTACCAGGCCGATGGCAATCCTGGGTTAGTCAGTAAGTTTCCATCATAAAATTAGCCGTTTTGGGCAGCTTCGAAGGGTTTTCGTAGAGAAAACCGCGCTTCTATACTCTGTCTGTTTAGGTAGTTAACTATTTGTAAACAAACCATAAAAAGAGTTCTTTATAGTTGACATTTCCATGATTCAAAATACTTCATAAGAAAATAAAATTGTTTCCCTTTTTACGACAGTTTTCTCTATTAAATGTTATGTTTCTGTTCCTTTTCACTTATTTCTTAATAAATATTAAATATATCTGCTTGAGGATATTAATTTAATAACATTTATTCAATAATATAATATTTCATTACAATAGACACCATAAAGAGCCTAAAATCCCAGGTATCCAAAACGTTTCTTTAAGAACGAAGCAAAATAATGTTGTCAAATTAAAGAGTACAACGAAGATGTAGCGCGACAATGAAAGTAGCGTGTATTACGTTTAGTCGGTTAATCAGGCGCCATTGACAGCTCTCTCGTCGTTTGCGCTCGCGTTCCTATTTTGTTGAATTTAACTTGTTTCTTTGTTTTGTTTTTGTTATTAAGTTATTTAAGTTTAGGTTATTCATCGTTTGTAATTAATGTGTTCAAATATATTGAAGAAAGTTGGCCCAAAGACAGATATCCGCACAAGAAAGAAATCCGTACATCAGATTCAGAATAGTTTCTATTTAAACATGATAATGAAATAGACCCATAGGCTAGGCTCTTGTACGATTTAGGCATTTGTACTTGTATGTGTGTGTATGACAAATGAACGATTTTAAAGTGAATTTAGTTAAAATTAAAACACGAGAAATATTTGAAGTAACAGTAGGTTAAGTATCTCTGTGTCACGTGGTTTTCTTTGTTTACCTTTAGTTAATTACCTAAACAGATGGACTATAGTATAATTGTAAATATCAAAACTTTATTTTTATTATGGGTCTGGGTGATGAGTGATATAAACTCACTCATAAAGTAAGAAACATCCTTTTGTGGAGTAGAGATAATTATATTTTAAAAGAATAAAAGCGTTATTAATTGAATATGACAATAAATAAAATTCATTAAATCATTTATGTGGATATCATTTGTCTTATCACTGACCACAGCTGATGTCAATTTTCAATACATTTTGCTATGTTTTCTTCATTCCTTTAAATGAAGCTTCTCACATAGGTTTTCTAGAACCACATTTCATATATTTCATATAAATAACTTTTCTGTTTTATAAAGATAAAATATGACATAAAATAAAATTACGCCATATTTTAGTGCACTGGGAGATATTTTTGAAACAGCTGTTTTAGTTTGTGCCGTCTTAATATTCATTTGTTTTTACGACATACTTTAAATATATTTTCTCTTTTGTCAACAGGGTATGGCCAGCAGTTTAACAGCCCTCGCACACAAACCTAACTAAAATGTAAGTGTATATTCACTATAAAATGGCAGACAGAATGACAGCCACCACAAAATGGCGTCGTATCTTGGCGCGAAAGCATCGGCACAACCAACTTTTAATTTTAAGCAGAATTATTTAATAGTAATAAATAAAAATCAATGTAAATTTTTATAATTAATTATAAATAGGGAATAATTGTTTATAATGGTTACTGTATATGTAATAATATGTTAATAAAAACAGATATTGATGGGCCAAACAATTATAATGCATATTTATAGAATTCAATTCCGTCTTCGAACTGTTTAAAAAATATGTTTCTTAATTTCTTTATAGACAAACAAACAAAAACCTTACATTTCTGCTTCAATATTATTTCCAAAATAATTCTCTGGCTCATCAATATACTGGTATTCCTATAAAATAACGTAACGTCCAACCCTATCGCATAGTTATAAACCAATCAGCTTTCGTTTATTCTAAAATATTCGTTCCTGATTGGTTGATAAACACGTGACGGACTAAAATGGACGGACCACGTTATTTGTGAGTTTTGATGTATGACAGATGTGAATGTGTTGGTTCTATTGTTTAACTTAAGTTTCCCGAGACACTCTAATTATTGAAAAAAATGGCATAAGCTATCAAGATAAAAATATAAAAAATGTGATATGCCATTCTTAGATTAAAAAAATAGAAAATATTATTGAAATTTAATTAATTGGTTGCAATATTCGCTTTACATTTGAAAAGTAAAAAATAAATTAAAAAATATATTTGCCGAAATGTAACCAATAAAATAATAATAATAAAAGAAAATTGTATTCTTAAATTAAGCTTTAATATTTTTCTTATTTATTTAGAATTAAATTTTGAAAAACAATTACGCGGGAACACAAAACCAGTCTGTTGTGATAAATTAATTTTAAGATTTTTTTTTTGTAGAACAAATAAATAACTTGAGTTAAAAAAAATGTATTTATTTACGTTTTGTGCAAAAATAATGTGTTCTGAATGCAAAAAGATTTTGTTTTAAGCTATAAATATATTAATATCTATAATTTCTACTGCAATTTCTTTATTACCTGTAATTAATATAGTCTATTCATATTTCTTTAAATTTTTAATTTGGATTATTTCAGTTTTTGTTTTTTAGTTTGTATTTCATTTTTTAGTTTCGATATTAATTTTAATTTTGCAATATTTTAGCAATATGAATAGACTGTATTACAAATAATTCTTTACTTCTAGAATGGGTCTTTACGGGATGAAATTAAGAATTTTGTAAATATTTTTTGTAATATATAGAAAAATAAACTATACATATAAATGTAAGTAGCATAATTACTTTATAACTACAATGTATTATAAGGAAAGCGGAATTAAGAAAAAAAAATGAATTAATTTCTTTTGTCAAATAAAAAGAGAAAAATATTATACATTTTGTGTTTTTATTTTGTGTTTTGTTACAACCATAATTGGACCTTAATTACACACATATACATATATACACACACAAACACATACTCATGACAGATGTTAAACGACTTTTATTCTATCAAAGTAACTATAAGGAAGTGGTTTAAATAAAAGAATTAATCTTTTTATTTCTATTTCTTTCGAATCAAAATACAAAATTTTAAATGAACCTGTTAAGAAATAGATTACTAAAGACAAAACTATAAATTCTAAATAATATTTTTTATGGGGCACTATTGCCCCTTAAAAAATGGTGATCCTATGATCACCCCCTATTACATGGGACTCCATAAATAATGAAAAGTGGGTGTTACTTCTGTGTGCACCTCTGCCTACCCCTTCGGGGATAAAAAAGGCGTGATGTTATGTTATGTTATTTTTTATGGGATAAGCCGGTAAACGAGCAGACGGATCGCCTGATGATAAGCAATCGGCGTCGCCCATGGACACCTGGAACACCAGAGACGTTACCAGTGCGATACCAACCTTTTGGGGATTAGAAATTTGAGGATTGCTGGGGATTCAGGAATTGGAAAGATTGGGGAAAGGGGAAGGGTAATTGGGCCTCCGGAAACCTCACTCACGCGACGAAATAGAATGCAAGCGTTGTTTCACGTCGGTTTTCTGTGAGGACGTGGTATCTCTCCGGTCGAGCCGGACCATTCGTGCCGAAGCATGGCTCTTTAATTATCATACATAATAATATACGTAAAGAAAGTTCTAATGTAAAAAAAATAAGTTCTATTGTCCCATTATAACAGCTGCTTAACATTTCTAGGAGTGCGTGGGGTTAACCTTGACCTAAACAGTGAACCAACTCACAAAATCACAAATAGTAACACTAATAGTAATATCCTTGTACCTACTGATATCGAATGAATATCATAGGAACTATGAGTTCGTTCCGGCTTACCTACTTGCAAAAATATCGTGGTGGCCCGGTGGTTTAAGACGCTTCTGATGCATGAGTAGGTATGCGGGTTCGAAACCTACCAAATGCAAGTACCAATGTGAATTTTTCCGAGTTATTTGTACTTTTTAAGATTATTCAGACACCACTGACAAGAGCGAAGGAAATTATTGTGAGAAAACCTGGGCTTATAATTTCTAATCATAAGTTTGAAATCACCAACCAAGCAAGCGTGGTGATCAATGCTCAAACCTTCTCCGTGTGAGAAGAAGCTTTGATCAGCAGTGGGCATTTATAGGCTGTTGATGATGATGATAATGATGATGATGATTACAGAGGTATAAAAATACTAGCAAAAACAGAGACAAAAAGTG